CCTTTGTTTTTAATAGTCAACATAAGAAAGACAATTTGAGAACAATATTTTGGAAAGTTTTATATTATATTTCATATAAGAATTCCATATGCTAGTCCATCTCCTTTACGGCATTGCAAGGCAGAATTTTTTTCAATTAACCTTTCACTCTTTCCTGTCCTTCAGCTGAAAGATAATTTGGCCTTAGATGTTGGTGCTTCTTTGCAGTTTTTCAGATTTGGCTTTTCCTTTGACTCTCATTGTCTACATTATATCTGGAATAAACTAAATATCTTGAATATCCTTATTCCTTGCACATTATTCCTTCGACTGCTGAATGAACATATCCCAAAATATGATACCTTAGTAATTGAGAAAAATACAGGAGGAATGTCACCCCTCCTTTCTCCTCTGAAGCATGATCATAAAGGAATTCTCCACCTAGCTCACCTGAAAATAGGTCATAAAATCCCCATTCTAGAGGGGCCCTTCCCTATAGTCAGAGGACTAAAAGAATCTACACAAACCTTTGGCCTGGCTAACCACCTCCAATCCCTTTTTTCTTCAGTCATGCTTCTACTACATAACATCTGTCCCTCTTCATCACACCTGAGCAGAAAAACAGTTTTCCCTAGGTCTTTGCTTCTTATTTCCAAAAGCTTTCATTTCATGTAAAACTTCGGTTAAATTAATTTGTTATGCTTTCTTCTCCTTAGTTTACCTTTTGTTACAGGGTGTCAGCCTTGAACCTTGCAGTGGGTGATGAAAAGGTGTTACTTTTTCTCCCCTACAATACTCAATACATGGTAGCTGAATAAATTGATTACTTGACTTTCTTTCTGGTCTTCTATCAGCCACTGAACCTCTGAGTAGGTAGCATGGGACGGTAAAAGGTACTTAGTGGCTGGGCCTGTACATGTCTAATGGGTAACTAAAAATAGGATAAAGTGTGACATCTCTACTTCCATTTTATATGCCTCCCTTATTACCTGAATATTTGGGGTCTTTAAACTGTGGGTCAGCTTTGCAAGCAGAAATGTTCATCACTTAATGTCTGTATTACAGTATTTTTCAGCCCTAAATTTACCTAGCCTATCTCATCTCCCTTCAAGACAGAGGACGCCAAGATAAAAGTAGCTAAAATACTTCTCAGGATTTGCAGGGACATCCAGTTGCCAGCTTTGACAACACCTTGTTCAAGACAGCGTGGAGCAACATCCAAAGTTCTCAAGTCCTTGTCTTAAACCTGTAGCTACCTTGAATTCTAGGAAAAGCAGAGGAGGGAGGAGGAAAGTTGCTTGCATCAGGGAGCCCAGGAGGGAAATGCGCCTTGATACCCTTCCAGGTCACACACTTCTGACCAGGCCCCATCGCCTAAAATTACACTTAGCTATAGCACCCCGTGATTCAATTGCTTTCCAAAAGCCCCACCTATAAGCCTGTGGTGTTCAAGGCTTTGAAGGGTCATCTAGATATGAACCATAGCAGTCAATAATAATACAAAACCCCATAAACGCTAGGGAGGATAAGGGAAAAAGGAGCTCTTCTGTATTTCTGGTGGGAATGTAAATTAGTACAGCCACTTGGGAAATTAGTATGGACGTTCCTCAGAAAACTAAAAATACAGTTACCATCTGGTCCAGCTGTACCACCCCTTGGTATACACCTGAAGAAATTAAAGTCAGCACACTATCGGGATACCAGAATACCCAATTTTATTGCAACACAATATGGAACCAGCCTACATACCCACAGATAGATGAATAAATAAAGAAATGTGGTATATTTATATTCAGTGGAGTATTATTCTTTCATGAAAAGAATGAAATTTTGTCATTTACAGGAAAATAGATGGATCTGAAAATCACCGTGTTCAATTAAATAAGCCAGACTCAGAAACACAAATACCACGTTTCCCTAATGCAGTATCTAAAAAAGAAGGGAAACCATAATTAGACAAGAGAAAGGGAGTAAGGGGTAGGACACGGGGGTGTAAGAGAGGGTAATGAGGAGAGGGGTATGAACAAAATATGCTGAAACCCAATATTTCGTGAAATTAATAGACGTTAATAAAAGAAAAAAAAAGATTGGTTATGTGTTGAGTGGTTTTAAGGTCATGGGTCTCTGCTTTTGTACATGTTTGAAATTTGCAATACTGAAAAGTTTTAAATCATTTTGGAAAAAGTGTAGAAGTCTTAAAAATATTTGATTCTTGCAATGAAGTGCCCTCTCTGGAGAAAAGTGGCATAGCATAATAGGGATTATACTTTCCTCCGTAAATGCTTTATTTTAATGACCAGTCTTATTTTAATACCTAGCTGGCTAAGTTAATATATGGCAGAATGGAAACATCCTATAGCTTGTTAAAAATTTTTAATTTTTCTGATTTTGACTTTACGTACCTCATAAATACAGTAGTCAGCTATGTCTCAGAGCTCCAATAATATAATAAATATAAGTTCCTTGTTTATATAACTCTATTATGAAAAAAATCTACCATTTTAGTGATTTACCTTTGCATTCAAATGTTGATTTGGTCAAAGATGCTGTTTGTGACCCCATCTAGCAGCACAATCTGTTACATTTTCAATGAGAAAAAAAAAATTGGCAAGGACTACAGAAGCTGCTTAAGAAAGAACTTCACAGGGAGATGAGGTACAAATGGAAATGCCACAGAAAGTGGAATGTAGGGCAAATTCCTAAGGAGATCACAAAGAAATAGCAAAAGCTTGTAGGAGATGGGTCAAAAAGTCTCAGCAGGAAACAGGATGCCACATATAAGAAACATGAAAGGGAACAGAAAAAAGAATTCTTTTACTATTTCAGGAACAAAAGAAAGCTAAATGACACACTTTGCTCCTTCAGTAGATGGATAGGGATAAGCTAAGGGCTCATAATAGTAAAGATGCATATGCAATTGCCACTTTTTCTTAGTATATGTTTACGTTTTACATACATTTTACAATCATCTTGGGAGAGTGGGTAAATGTACATGACACAGCTTGCTTCTTTTTGTTATCCCCTTCCCCAACCGTAACCTTTCCTCCCTTCAACCTCCTCTAATTTCCCTGAATCTTCCTTAAAATAAAGATGAACTTGAAGTTGAATTATTACAGCATTGATTAGGAGGTTAAAAAGTTAACACATAAGAAGAGATAATATAAAAGTTAATCTAACGTGGTATACCATTATAATCTCGTGATTTGTATGCAAGGGTAAAGAAATACTTTCCACTTGTGGACTATTATGCAGCTAATAAAAACACTGCTTTCTAGAATAAAAAGGGAATTATTTACAATGTAACAAAGTGATAAATACAAGATCATATTATTGTCTGGAATGGGATAGTCCAATTTTTAATAAAAGTTAATGCTAGTGATATTGTTGGTGATTTTTGTTTTCTTTATCCACTTATTTATTGGGTGCTTTACAATGGGAATTACTTTTATACTCAGATTTAGCAATAAAATATCTAAAGTACAACAGTTGTCAAGAGTTCAACTCCTATTATTCCATTTAAATAACTCATTAAATTTCTCAAAATTATCACTTTATCTCAAATGGATGTGTTCTGCTTTTTTTTTTTTTTTTTTTTTTTTTTTTGGTACCAGGGATCAAACTCAGGACCTGCTTGCGAAGCAGGTGGCAGAAACATTGACGTAAATCCCTGGCCCTCTTGGCTTTTGATGACCACTCTGCTGAAATTCTCTGCTCCTTTGGCCTAGCTCAGTGATGGTGAACCTTTTAGAGACCCAGACTGCAACCCAAACCCACTTATTTATTGCAAAGTGCCAATGCTGCAATTAAACCTGAATACTGAGGTTTTAATTTAGATAAAACAACTCATATATTAACATATTTTGTCTTGAAAGAAAAACACAGTAACATGCGTGCCACAGGTTCACCACCACTGGCCTAGCTGTTCTAATTTAATCATCCATCAGCTATTACCTGAACAATGATAATGGTTCTCTGCCTTCTCCACAAGCCATTTTATAGGTTACCATCAAGGTAAACCTGAACATCTCACTCTACTGCTTTTGCCCCTTTGAAAACTTTTCAGAAACATAGGGTAAGTTATCCAGGATTTTCAGTTGCAAGTGATCCACAGAAAAGCAAAGGATAGCTTTTAGGGGATTTATATAATACTCTTGGATATCTAGTTCTTACCTGTTCTCTTTTAAGTAGCTACATTCCTTATAAGTAGATGAGCATCCTTTTAGTGACAAGGCTTTAGCTAGTATCAAGCTTACAATCCTACTTGGCAACCCCCAAACAAGAGGCAAATCCAAGGCAACACTTCTGGTTGAATAATATGACCACACCTGAATTACTAAGGTTAAAAGAGTAGGCCTGGGTCATAGGTCCAAGCCAGACAGACAGGTAATGGAGTCTAACTGGTAGTCTGCCTAGAACCCACAGCCCAAAGGGCAAGTTCCTCAAAAGAAATCAGGAACACTGTATAAAAGAGAGGGGCATGGCTGGGGATTTAGCTCAGCGGTTTGGTGGCCTTCCTTGCAAGCACAAGGACCTGAGTTCAATCCCCGATACCAAAAAAAAATAAAAATAAAAAAAAATAATAATAATAAAATAAATAAAAGAGAGGGGCAAGGAATGAGGAAAAAACAAACATCCCAAATACAAGTTAATATCCAATCTTCTTATCCCAACTCATGCTTTCTTGGATTGGCCCATGACTACTTTCTTGACCTTACCTTTTGCCTTTCACTCCTAAGAACTCTACACTCTAACTAATCTTGGGTCTTTTTCTGAATAAACCCTTGTGCCAGGCAGAACAGTGGTTTCCAAAGAGATCCATATCCTCATCCTAGGAAAAAATAATAAGCTACTTTATGTGACAAAAGGTTCACCGCAGATATGACTAAGGATAAGGACTTTGAAATGGTGAGGCTACTGTGGTTTACTGACTCCCATCTAACCATATGAGTCCTGAAAAGCAGAGAACCTTTCCCAGAATTGGAGAACCAGAGAGATGGCAGTATAAGAAGACAATGACCTACCATTGTTGGCTTTGAAGATGGAGGAATGAAGCCACAGATCAAAGAATGTGGAAAAGGCTCTAGTAGCTGGAAAAGGAAAGGAAATGGATTTTACCCTGGAGCGTCCAACAAATAATACAATTCTGCTGACATTTTGATTTTAACTCAGTGAGATTTCTGTCTATCTCAGACCTGTTACAGAAGTGACAGGCAGAAAATCTATACTGTGCTAGCCAAGTCTATGGTAAATTATTACAGCAGTAACAAAAAAACTCATACACAAGTTATGCTATGACACGCTTTCTTGCTTCGGTACCTTTTGGTTATTTCAGCAAAATGTCTTCTTAGTGACTTATTCGAACCGATTTCAGTCTGTTGGGTGAAGGCCTGCCATTGTTCAAAACACAACACAGTGTTACCTCTTCTCTAAAGGGCCCTCAGTATCAGTGCCAAGGGACTCCTTTCTTCCTAAGGCCTCACTGCATTCTATGTATTGTACCCTACTTTATTTTAAATGATGTATTAAAATGATCTCAGAATAGATGTATTTCTTCCATGGTGTTATACATTTATTTTACCCCGGGGACACCACAGGTCAAACAATGTTAGGTATTTAGTAAATTAAAAAAAAAAAACATGTCTGTGAATGCATGAAAATTCACTGCACTGGTTACTTGCTTTGCAATTTATAGGAACACGAGAAAGACTTGTGTTGGGACTCAGAAAATTATGCTCCAAAATATGCTGTTTTGGACTTCAAACTGAGGACCCCTGGGGAGAGCTAAGGCAGGGAAGGGCTCCTCTAAAGTTTCCTTGTCGGCCTACAGATGGGCTCTGACAAAGAGGAACACAGCTGCCTTCAATCTTCTTATTGAAAGTTTATTAACTTAGGAAGATTAAACTCGAATCACAAAGGAAGAGACTGAAAAATCAACATCATACCTAGAGTCCGCACATACTTTCTCTCAGGACATTGTCTGTTCTCTGGGTTCATCTCTTCTAAAAAGTCATTTCCTACCCCTCCAAAACTACCTCTAGACCCCTCTTCTACTCTCCTATGATGAGGCAACTTATGCTTCAATCATTTGGGTCGCTTTTGAGTTTCATATTTTATAGAGTTCCCCCACACATATGCATAGTAATACATTTCAATGCCTTCTTTCTCTCCTGCTAATCTGCCCATTGTCAGTCTGTCTCACCAGATTCAATTATCGAACCTTCTGAAGGAAAATTTGAACTTGCCTCTTGTTTGAAGTTGAAAAATATCCAATATACTTTAGAAACAGAAAATGCAAACAGTACCATAGCTTTAACTTCTCTCACCAGAAACATGTTAATGAGCAGTATGTTAAATTTCAAATACCTTAAATACAGCAGGCACATGTTTATTAGACACAAATCTTGTCTAACTCAATCACTAAATAATAATCTATTTCAATGACTGCACGAGTAAGCACTGGGATAAGAAATTGACTGTAACCCCCTTTCGTGGCAAAGCTTTGGAATCAACCCTACACATAAATGAACTTGGAAAATAGTTTTTCCTCTAACGGTATTAATAATTTCTAACATTATCACCTCACTTTTGGCCAATACACTTACGTAGAGCCAGCCTGCAGCACAGAGCTCAAGTAGATCCTGCCTCCTGATATTCATTCCCTTAAACTCTGCTGTGATGTCGAAGAGGGCAAACCTTTGTGACCAATATGATTTTGCAGACACAACGTGTGATTTTTTTTTCAAACTAGGTCATAAATGGAATCGCTGATTCAACCTCACTCTTGAACTGCTAGTTCCAGGGAAAGGTAGCTGCCAGGTTTTGAGAATAGTGAAGGAGGCCTGGGGAGGGATCACTAGAGAAGAAATGAAGTTGTTTTTTTTTTTTTTAATTGAAGAACATTAATTTTCAAATTAGTATTATACATTGAATGTTTTTATCTTGCTTTTAAAATTTTTCATTAGACTTCCCTTTTGTTTTTTGTGAATCAATACTTACTATTGGTAAGTATATTTATTTTCTTACTCAATTTTATTGATTAGTACATGGTCACAGTACATAATGATTCCATTCCTGTTGGGGGTTGGTATATGCACAGAACGCATCTTAATTCTGTTTTCACCCTGGTTCCCCCCCACCCACTTCATCTCTTGGTCCCCTTCTCTTTTACACAAGATCGATTTCCCTATTTCCTATGATCTATCTTTTATTTGGCTCTTTATATTTTGGGTTTCTCCTATAGTTAAAGTGTGTATCTGATTTATTTCGCTTAACACTATGGATTCAAGGTGCCTGCTTATCTTTCTTTATGGCACAAAGCAATCTCCTAGTCACAGACTTTCAGATAATGTATCCCTGGTCACTTTTTGGCTGCAATCTCACCAGAGACCTCAAATAATAGTTATTCAGCTGGGCTTTTCTTTTCTTTTCTTTTCTTTTTTTTTTTTTTTTTTTTAACCAGGGATCAAACTTGGGACCTTGCTTTTGTGAGGCAGGTGGCGGAACCACTGAGCTAAAACCTTGGCCCTACCTGGGCCGTTCTTAAATTCCAGACTCATAGAAACAGTGAGAAATAAAGTAAGTCTACTACTGTTTTTAGCCATTTTTTTTTTTCGGTTTTGTTTGTTGTGTTGGTGGTGTTCCTGGGGATTGTACCCAAAGCCTCACACAAGCTAGGCAAGTACTTCACCACACCTCCATCCCTGAGTCACTGAGTTGTGAGGTGATATGGCATGCAGCAATACATAACTGGTACACTGCCTACAGAACAAACTAGGGAGATAAAAGCCATTACCTACTTCTTTGTTATGACTTAGAGATAAAATGACCTCCGTAAGTCTCATGTGCTCAGGGATGGGGGGTTTGGAGAATGATTAGATCATAAGGACTCTGTCTTCATCAGTAGATTAATCTATGATAAGATCATAATTCAATGGGCATTAGTGGGAGGTGATGGAGACTTGGGAGGTGGGGCCTAGTTGAATGGAAGTGGGTCATAAACTTAAGGGCTATATCTTGTCCCTGGTCCCTTCCTTTTGGGAGCTCGCGCCTTCTCCCTGTTTCCTAGCTTCTGTGAGGTGAGGTGAACAGCTTTCCCTTGCCACGCCCTTCCACCAAGGTATTTCTGCTCTGCCGAAGGCTTAAAGCTCTGGAAGCAGCTGGTCATAGATTAAAACCTCTGAAACCAACAGCTACCTTTCCTGCTTTAAGTTGTTTTTCTCAGCTCTTCTGTCACAGGGCTGAAAAGTTAACGAATAGTTATTATTCTTTCATTATCAACCTTGACCTTCCAAACCACTAAACTAGGGAGTCTTAAAAGAAACACAGCTTGAAAACACCCGTTTCTTTTAGATTTTATACTATCATGAAACTAAAGTGCTAGTCTGGTTCCACCGCTTTTCAGGGATGTTTCCTCCTTCCTTATCACTATGTTATTCGAAAATAGGGCATCTAAAATTGGATGGTGAAATTTAATGTGACCCCAGAAGGTAAGAGATACATGACACATTGGAATTCTTCTTCTTGATAAGGTTCAGAGGCTAAATGTAACTGTTGGGTGTTCTCTATTTTCAAGAGAGAAGGAGAGAGGAAAAGAGGGAGAAGAGGAGAGGGGAGGGGAGGGGAGGGGAGAAGAGGACAGGAGAGGGCAGGAGAGGAGAGGAGAGGACAGGACAGGAGAGGACAGGAGAGGAGAGGAGAGGACAGGAGAGGACAGGACAGGAGAGGAGAGGAGAGCCTCTTGCCATCTTTCATTCCGATTCTCCTGTGACCCATCATATTTTTGTTTCAGAGACACTACGGATGTTCATACACTAAGTGTGTCTCTGTGTTTGCTGCTGCATGTGTGACCATCACAGAGCAAATATCTTGACTTTGTCTCACAAAAAGCATCACAGGAGATACTTTGGGCAAGGAGAGAAAAGGGGTAGGAGAAAGAAAGTGGTGATAAAGGGCAAGAGAAGAAGAGCAGCAGCCTAATTGTGCGGAAACAGAAAGCAGTGGCTGGTTTTTTCTAGCAGTGGCACTAGGTAGATATGTCTGTGGGCAGTTGAGTCAACACATACACTCTGGCTATGCCATGGAGAAGACAAAATAAATGACGCACTTCAGTTCTAAAGAAAGTAAGTCTTTGCAAAAGGAAAACATAAAGCACACACAGAAGGAAAAGTCTTGCGTTCTAGTTGTATTAGTCAACTTTCCCATTCTAGAAAAAAGTTTCAAGACAGGAACATTGTGGCAGAAGGGCATGGTAGAGAGAGCTGCTTAGCTCATGGAGGACAGGAGGCAGAACGGAAACAGCACCAGAGAGGCAGGGGTCAAGGACTAAATAGAATACACAGTCATGTCTCTCTGACCCAGCCAGACACACCCAGAAGTCTATTTTACCAATTCTCTAGGCGGTTCCCAAACCAATCAAGTTGACAAACAACTGTCACGAGGGGACTCTGTCAATTCTGAGAAAGTAACACATAGTTGAAAGTCCTCACATTCATAAGGTAAATTTCAAATCCTTAAATTATTTATGATTCCAATAAACCTTTTCACATAAATCTATACATACTTAGTCTAAGGTTTGTTGCCATAATTATTCATAAGTAATTAGAGGCATTTTTGCAGACTTGTTATAAATCTGTTTCAATCTATTACTTTTGATAAGTAAAGGTTGTATATATTTATGATGTGCAACATGATGTTTTGATATATGTATACTTTGCGGAATGTCTATTCAAGCTATTTGACATATGAATGATCTCCCATATTCATTTTTTTGCAGTGAGAATATTTAAAATCTACTCTCGCAGTGATTTTCAAGTATTCAACATGTTGTTACTAACTATAGTCATCATGATTCATAATACATCTCTTGAACTTATTCTTCCAGTCCAACTGCAATTTTGTGTCCTAGGCTCTGGCAACCATCATTTTACTGGCTGCTTCTATTAGTTTGATTTCTTTATACTCTATACGTAAGTGAGACCATGCAATATTTTTCTTTCTGTGCCTGGCTTATTTCCTTTAACATTATGTTTTTCAGGTCCATCCATGTCACTGGAAATGATTGAGTCTCCTTCTTTTTAAAGCTGAATAG